GGGTGGAGACGGTGCCTCATCCCGAACCGTTCATGAATGGATTCATGAAGGTGGGATCGGTATCCGGACAAGTGAAATCCAAGACCGTCCCGGCCCGCGCCCACCCCTACCATAAATAATCAACATATTTATAGATAATTCGAACCTAAATATTTTTGGATTAAAAGTAAATTAAATCTACCCAAGCCTAATAACGAAGCATGTAATTTTCACACATAGGATATCGAAGCATGCGAGCATGCCACATAGGCTCAGCACGTTCTGAATTAATATATAGGGGGATAAGGAAATGCTTAATTTGTGAATTATTTAAGTTTAGTTGGATTTTGTTGGTGAGTTTAGTGAATTTGGCGTTGCGATTAACGGTGCCTAGAGACATAGGCAATATTGACCGAACCCCATTATCAATTTTATGTGTTTTTTCCTTTTTTCACCTTTTATTTATTTATGTTGACTTCTTTTCGTTACTAATAGTGCTTGCTATTATTTGTCAGTTGTGGGGGTATTTGTTCGCTGCGTTTGTCCATTATCAAGTAGGCGTGATTATCTGATACGTGCACTTGTGTGAGGATCACATGCTATGCACGATATGTAAGCTACGACTGGTTGTAATATGTGAGTGACTGAACGACTGATGTTCTAACCCATGTTCGTGGATAGGTAATTATCCCCTTTGGAGTTCGTAATGTCGACCCGATTAAATGCGAGGATCATATCTCGAGTCTAGGACTTAACGTTGAAGAAGAGACTTGGCTAACCCTAATTAAACCTAAGCGGAAACTTGAGTCGTTCTCCTTTACGAGTCAAAAACGGCTCAACGTAGAGCGAAACCAATCGGATATTCGATCAAATGTGGCTATTGCCCCTCGAGGACTTCATGGGCCGAAAGGCTCATCCCTTTACACACAATTATTGTTGTCAAATTAAACGAGTCTGACTCGGCTCGGCTCGAGCTTGGGTCGTTAAGGTTCGAGTTCGACTCGACTTGTTAAGACTCGAGTTCGACTCGGCTCGGCTCATTTTATAAGCTAGCCGAGCTCGAGTTCATTTAAAACTCGTTTGGTTAACGAGTCGAGCTCGGCTCGACTCAAGAAGAATAAAAGAGATTTTTTATATAATTTTCTATAGTTCGACTTGTTAAAAACTCGAGATCGACTCGTTAAAAATTTAACTCGACTCGTTATTAGTGATACACGAGTCGAGATTGAGCTTAATTTCAAGCTCGCTGATGTAACAAGGTAAGATCGTTGATATAACGAGCTCGAGCTCGGCTCGACTCGTTAAAAGCTGGAGCTCGAGCTCGGCTCCAGTCGTTTAGTTACCTACACTGTGTAAAAAAATATAAAGACATCATACATAATAGATACGCACCATGCATTTGAAAAGAATAAAACGCGAAATGATATAAAATTATAAAAGAATAATTCCAAATTTGCCCTTTTGACTATTTATCTTAAAATATTTTTATATTTTTATTTTTTTCTTCTTTACCATTTTAACTTAACAATTAAATTCCAGCACACATACATTTGTACGGTCCTCATCGTTTTCATGTAGCTTTTCCTTTTGCCATCGTATAAATAAAGCGCACTCATCCATTTTCACTCCATTATTACTCATTTACTCTCCATTGAGGAGAAAAAAGTAGGAAGAAAAAGAAAAGCAAAAGAAATCCCATTATTCAAGGGAAAAAGAAGATGTCTCAGAGCAGCGAGGCGCCGTCCGCCGCCGTGGATGGCGGCGGAGTCAGCGAGATCATACTCTTCGGGGTTAGAGTCAAGGTTGATCCGATGAGGAAGAGCGTGAGTATGAACAATCTGTCCGAATACGAGCCTACCGGCAAGGACGGCGGCGGTGGAGATGCACCGAGGGCTGCGGCGGAGGATGGCGGCGGCGCGGGCTACGCATCTGCCGACGACGGCGTGCCCCGGGTCTCCAACCGGAACCGCGAGCGCAAGCGAGGCAAGATCGGTTTT